CCCCTACCTCCCCTACCTCTCCGTACCTCCCCTACCTCCCCCTACCTCTCCCTACCTCTCCCTACCTCTCCCTACCTCTCCCTACCTCTTCCTACCTCCCCCTACCTCTCCCTGCTTCCTCCTACCTCTCCCTACCTCCCCCTACCTCCCCCTACCTCTTCCTACCTCTCCCTACCTCCCCCTACCTCTCCCTACCGTCGACTCTAACTCCAAATTAAACATGGCCGGTTAATTAAAGGATCGCGCGCTCCTGATAAGACGCCTGCACCGCAGGCTAACGGTATAATTGACGGCTGCGCGCAAAAAGGGGCCGGTAGGAGAATCCCAAACAGGAAACTTGCTCGCAGGCTAAGCAGACGGTGGTAAAAGGATTTATAGGTGGTGGTGGATCGCCGGTAACTGCACTTTACTGAAACCTCTGACGTATGTCTTGAAGGTTCTAAAAGAGCTGAAGGACGAGAACTGGCACATGTGGGACATTGTCTGGACTCTCATCAATCGACGCCACAACGAGAAAACCATTGCGTATACAGAGAGTCATGACCAGGCCCTTGTCGGCGACAAGACTATTGCCTTCTGGTTAATGGATAAAGAGATGTACACGCATATGTCGGAGACAATGCCGCTGACCCGCATCATCGATAGAGGATTAGCACTACACAAGATGATTAGGTAAAATACTTATTTGTCGTTTCCTTCAGGACTGTATTCTCATGTCTCAGTTCTCACATCAAGACAAGGTGATGACTGTTTCTAGGATCGTTGTTTCCCACCGTTGTTGTTGTCCCGAAGCCGAGCAAGAACACACTTTAGGTGTCCTTTTTGCTAAACATTCTGGACGTATAGAAAAACTTCTCGGAAATGCGAGTTAGGGAGCTCAGCGGAGGAGAAGGGAAAAATTAACTTCTTTAGAGCCGCTTTTATTTTTTTTACTTTCTAGATTAATAACCTTTGCTCTGGGAGGGGAAGGCTACTTGAATTTCATTGGAAATGAATTCGGACATCCTGAATGGTTGGATTTCCCACGCGAGGGGAACAACAACAGCTATCACTATGCACGCAGGCAGTTTAATCTAGTGGATGATCCGCTGCTTAGATACAAGTGTCTGTTCGAGTTTGACCGGGCCATGATGCAGCTGGAGGAAAAATACCATTGGCTAGAGTCTTCTCAGGTGCGTGGCTAGTGTCAAATGCTGTACCTACTTTATTTGCATAAAAAGAAAAAAAGAACTCAATCAGTTAGCAGCTTTATTTCCTAGCGGTTAAATTGACGTTCAGTTTGACGCACTATTTTGTGCTGCAGCTCTGTGATTGATGCTATGTAATTATTGAATGAATGGGAGGGCCGGAAGGGAACATATTTGACTCGAGTTTATTACGTACGGACCGAACGCAGCGAGATCCGTGTGCATCATGACCGAGAGCCAAATATTTTTCCGTTCGGCCCAACCAAACTATTTCAATAAGCTCATGTTTCAAACCGGCAGTCTAAATCCCACAGGGATCAACGAACGCTTTTCATTCCACTAATTTACTCGGGTTTTTCTCGTTGCCATGTTCCCACCAATAACGTAGCTCCATTTTCTGCCTTTGAAAGCGCACACAACCCACAATTCCTCTATTCGCTCCGACGAAGGGCTAACGCTCGAAACGTCAGCTTTTGTAATCGTTACGGTGGCCAATTTACCATTTCAACTTTGTTGATATATCCAAATTATTTCGTTACTCCCACCGACGCAGCCCCAAACAGTTTCTTTCGAAACTATCAGCCTTTATTCATTTGAAAATTGAAGACCTTGCTAGAATCAGTTCCACTTCAGTGGCTACGCCGCTGCCGGTGGTAATCCCAAGAGAGCTTTTCAGGCGGTGATATATCCTTGTTATAACTTAGCAAGAGAACTAAATCTTGGACTTTAGTGCTTCGAGGGTCTTGANGACTGGCGCGAGACGAGAAGCGCGGGGACGGAAGTGTAGGAACGAACATAGCAGGGACGAGGAACGCGGAATACCCGTTTTCATACTATCGCCTTTTAGTAACTCACAATTAAATAGGCTACAACCAGATGCTTCACGAGACAAGGACTTACGCATTAAACACTCATCAAATATATTTTCCAATTTTTGTCAGCCGTGTCTCACCTTTGCTATGGATCATGCAACTTCATCAACCATATCGGCCAAGGTCTGTGTAACGTGCTCGACGTAGCGGTTGAATTTCTGAAGTTAACCGAGAGGGCTACCAATTGGGTGAGTCAAGCCATTAACTATGTCCTCACACAGCTCTTCAGAGTTTACAGGTACGTGCATGGAATAGTCCAATTTCTTAGGGACTGGTCAGTATTATCGCCCAGCGGGTGGATGGGGTGGTTTGGATGATTTTGGTTGTTTCACGGGAATATTTACTTGATCTCCTTTATGATTCTCCTTCATTGCCAGTTAATTGGCTGTCCTCCTTTGTGCTTTGTTGACAACGACGGACCCTACCGACTCCCCCTGAATATCCTGCGATGCCCCCCAAATCCCTACTCCCTACCCCTCCCCACCCCAGTCGATAGATAATGACTGGTCTCTTAATCAGATAAGTGAAACAATGTTCATACTTAATGTTTGACACAATGACGTGTCCCTTTTACAAATGTTACCCACAAGGATTTTGCTGTACATCTCTCTCTCCCTGATTCTTTCTTTCTCTATTTCTTTCTTTCTTCATGATGTTATTTTCAAATTTGAACAATCATAGAAGTTTGAATTGTAGGTTGTTACTCTACAGTAAGAAAATGGAGCTACGTTATCAGTGGAAACATGGCAACGAGAAAAACAAGAATAAGTTAGTGGAATGAAAAGCGTTCGTTGAACCCTGTGGGATCAACGAACGCTTTTCATTCCACTAATTTATTCTTGGTTTTCTTGTTGCCATGTTCCCACCAATAACGTAGCTCCATTTTCTGCCTTTGAAAGCGCACACAACCCACAATTCCTCTATTCGCTCCGACGAAGGGCTAACGCTCGAAACGTCAGCTTTTGTAATCGTTACGGTGGCCAATTTACCATTTCAACTTTGTTGATATATCCAAATTAATTCAATAAGCATTTTATCATGTGATCACTAATTGTTGAAAGTTTCAACCTAAATAGGACTCGATAGACGGGCACACGCAGCCACATGAGCACAAAAAAACTCTGCAATTAACACTTTTCCTTGATTTTTTTTCAAGTCAGAACAAGAAATTCCCAATTCCTTGAAAAACGCGGCTTTTTTTTTTTCTCATTTCTGTGGTCCTTTAAGTTTTTGCAACAAAACGACGTGAGGGCAGCGGGGTGGGACGGCTTTTTCCGAACCGGCTCACGTCAGTCCGTCCGGACCTGCACACGTCAGCTTTTGCTATGGTTTTCTGTGGGATTGTGCGAGCGGGCCCGGACGGGTCACATGATAATAAAAGGTATATTTTCATGTTTTGGTCAAAAGGAGTTCCTTAAATTTTGTAGTAAAGGTAGGCTAGTTTCTCCGTAGACTTCCGTGACGGCTGACATAAACCACTCCCTTTTCTTACGAAATACGTCACGAAATGCTACTCCTTCCGCTTGTAGAATTATTCAAAGTATGCATTGTTGTCAATTTTGTTCCAGGCCTACGTTAGCTGTCACCACGAGGATGACAAAATCATCGTATTTGAAAGAGCCTCCTTGATGTGGGTTTTCAACTTTCATCCCACCAAGAGTTTCGCTGACTACAGAATCGGCGCCAGCATCGCTGGAAAGTATCCTGAACGAAACCTATCAATAGATTAATCTTAGGCTATTTTGTTAATGTATTTGATAGATGAATTCGATTTGAAAAATCTTGTCAGATACTAGAATTTCTGTGAGGCTCAATTTCTGCGGTGTGCTCAAGTTCGGGGAAGAGGCACGGGCTCATTTTTCGAGCAGCGGTTGATAATCGAGTTCAAACTTCCCGGTGTGCTTGTGAAAGGGAGCAGTATGCCATAGAAACCGTACTATTTTTATCTCTGCCACTGAAAAGCAAACATTGGGATCTCAATAGTCGGTTAAAAAACGTCTTTGGTCATACTTTTTCAAGACGGAGAGAAAGATAACATGGTTTCTGGAGCACGTTTCTCTTATTAAGTCTACACAACTTTTTAAAATTATTTTTATTCTTTTTTATAAAGCAAACTTGCGCAAGCGTTTGTCTCCTGGAGTGACTGGGGAAACCCATTCCTTATTCCATTATTTGGAAGGTAATTAAGACTTAGAGAAAGAAAAGATAGTAGCGGATGACTTCAAAACTTTTCTTAACAATTAATTACAGATACAGAATAGTTTTGGAGACAGATTCAACTGAGTACGGGGGGCACAAGCGATTGGATCCAAACTGTGAATACTTCGTAGACAGCCAGCCATGGCATGACAGACCATTCTCTCTTCTAGTAAGACCAAGTTAATTGTTTGGCAAAAATTCTTACGCGACGTAGCTGTGAATTACCTCTCGTCCCCAGACCCTTTCCCTCCTTTTTTCTTGTCAATTCGTATCCAGGTGTTTCCTCTACTTACCGAGTATGACAACATCGTCACAAGTGCATTATGTTGTTTCCCTTCCTTTTTTATTTTGTAGGTCTACATTCCTTGCCGTAGTGCTCTTGTTCTAGCTCCTGTATAACATTTACTTCATGGACCTATTTAACAGATCGTGTGGGAATCTCTGGAATTGTTTTTACACTGAGAAGAATTGCCCTTTGTATGTGGTGGACGCAGTTCTTCACAGGATATATTATATCATTAAACTTACTCAGCCATTTACTTGTGGCATATTGTACGTCGACATACAAGTTTTTCTTTATTTGAGCTGAAACATTTTACAGCAAGAAAATTACATTCTTAAAAAAAGGAATAATGTAAGAACTTCACTACACAAGATCATGATCATTACTCCGGATTGGAAGTCGAGTGAGTTTTCCCTTTTTAGGTTATTGCAGAGTGTATTGAGAAGTATTTTTTGTACGAGAAAAGTATGAATCATATGGCAGAATTATCCTCCTTTAAGTTTAAAGCTTGTTAAAGAGTGTAGTCAATTTTGATAAGGAAACGATGGAGTCGTTTGACGATTTACCGTATATTAATTAGATATTAAATTTTGGTGTTAACCCTCTAACTCCCATGAGTGACCAAGACAGAATTTGTCCTTACAATATCAATACAATATCAAGCAGACAACTGACGAGAATAAAGAAAAATATCAATTAGGGAATTATTAGTTGATCTGGTACCTAATTCTCCGAATTTTCGTCATACGTTCAGTAAGGAGAGCTGGTAGTCAGATATTAGTAGTGAAGAGGTGAATGGTAAGGGTTGATTGGTATTAGCGTGTAACGTATGAGGTGATGGGTGTCGTTGTATAGAGGAGCAATCAATAGAAAATAAACAGTTCACTTGGGACATTTCTTTTTTTCTGTTGATGTTGTGTAAATTTCCGATTCTTCCGTAGTATGTGAATAGACTATTCACACGTGCTTCTTTAAACACTTAGTGCACAATACCAGTGGACTCTGGTCTAGAATTAATCGTGCTTTGTGTATGATGAATTGGGTTGGTTTTCTCTTGATATTTGCCTTACGGAAATTCCAAATCCCCTCCATTCTTTCCTCTCCAAAAAGAGACTGGTGTCTAGTGTTTTGATCACCTGACCTGAATATTTGTTCTTTGGCGCCAAAATTGATACTTCGTCGTCGACCTAAAACCGCGCGCCCTCTTGGCTATCTGAAACACACGACAAATGTCTTCCTTTGGCACTTTTAACGGACTTATTGTAAGCTCATTTTAAGTGAAAGTCACTTTGAACAATGGAAGAAACTTTCAAAAGTCCTCGACCGATACCTAATATCGCCACGGAGGCCACTTTTAGCCACCGAAAACCAAAGAAACCCGATCACAGAAACTTGGTTGAAGAAGATTGTTTACCTCCCAGAGCTCCAGTGAAATCAGCTCCACCAATAAGTAGAGTTTTTAAGCATACAAGACGGAACTCGGTGGGAGCATTCCAAGTCAGTTTTCGAGATAATGGTAGCGGTATCCTTTCAAAAAAAAACGCCAAATGTCTTGTCGTTTTGTTGATGTTTGCAAAATTCTGATAATGTAACATTCAAACGGTATGGTCTAACGAGCTTCTCATTATTGCGTTCAGGTCCTTCGAGTTTAATATTGTTTTTTTTGTACTTTAATTTGAATGCGTAACCACTCTTTGACGTACATCCTTGACAAATCAAATCAGAAATTAAAAGCCCCCACTACAATGCGAAATCGCGAGATCTCTATTTCGAACAGGTAAGTCTGTTATATAATTTTATCCTCCTATTTGAAAAGATTTTGTGAAGAATTTTCCAAAGCCAGGTAGAACGGTCAGCTTTAAGCTTAAGACAGGCATTTTCAGCATTTGCACGGCTTTACACTAATTACGTTATGATAATGTTGCAAAGATATATTTCGCATGTTTATACAACGCAAGGCGAGGACACATAAGTTCGTGGAAAGGTATCTGGACTAGAGTAATTTCTTCTAGTACAAGCTGCTGCCTTAGACAAGAAATTATGGTGGCTCTCCTAGGTTTTTCTCTTTGTGGTTATTACGTGAGTGCACTCTCGACCTTGGATAAACATCTTTAAGGCTACACCAGCGGTGTGGACTTGCTATAATGTGACTTTTTAACTGTTTGCCCTCCGGCTAAGATTAGTATTTACCGGCTTGACACTAACTTTTCAACTTACTAGCCAAGTGGCTGGTGACAACTTAGGCCCAGTTCAAATGTCGAATTTCACATGTGCCGAACTTAACTCCTACTTTAGTCGACTAAAATAGTTAAATACGGCATTTGATTCAAACGTCGAATTTAACTCTGTCGCATTTAACTCTGTTCGCTGTCAATATTCCCAGGCGCACTACTCTAGGCCCAGTTCAAACGCCGAGTTTCACATGTGCCGAACTTAACTCCTGTTTTAGTCAACTAAAATAGTTAAATACGGCATTTGATTCAAACGTCGAATTTTACCCTGTTCACTGTTGATATTCCCAGGCGCACTAATTATTTGCTAGACGAAGACGTCTATTGAGCATTTGCTTAATTGCTTCACTGATGCTCTTGTTTTGCTGTTTGTTTTTGCCTCTTTATCTTGGCTTTTGGTCATGATACTTTCACGTTCCATCATTTCATTGAAACACGACCCACAATATGCCACAGGGTTTCCTACTTTCAACCCAGGAGAGTGCCCTCTTCGTTTTCATAAACAGAACACCTCATACAAAAGTAATTACTGCATGTCAAACAACTGTATTTTGTCTTTTTTGAAAGCAAGAACTACAAATTCCTTCATCTCCCACCATTTCTTTGTGCTCTTTTGGCTTTTTTGCGCATGGCATTCATAGAATTCATGGCGAGTCGTGGGTAATAAATGAATTACAATAATTTTGTGTAATTCATGCATTAAGTTTGGCACATGTGAGATGCGACGTTTGAAGTCGAACCTAAGTCGAATCTTCGACTGTTTCATTTGCAGATACGGCAAAAGTCGCATTTTATTTAAAACAGTCGAATTTAATTGATTCAAACGTCGCACTTCACATGCATTTAACTCTCGTATTAAGTTTGGCACATGTGAAATTTGATGTTTGAACTGGGCCCTAGATGTTATGACAATTTCAGTTTGTTACTAGCCAAACTGTCTGGTGGAAATTGCAAACCACCAGCCAAAACAGAATTTCTACTAGTCTATGGCTAGTGGGCTGCCGCTAGCGTCGAGCCCTGATTTCTATTCTCTATAATGTCTCTTCACATTTTGCATGGTATTGACAAGGAGAATTTGATTGATGATTAGGAGTTTCTAAAATTGATGATCATTTCCTTTATTCTCATTTGAATTAAGTTTGATACAGTTAGGAGAAATTAGAAGCCAGTTGCTCTGAAGGGTGAAAGGGTGAAACAGTGCAAGAAGAAAAACTTGCTTTGCATAGTTTTCTTTTGCTGATAGGTCTTCCTGATCGTTCATGGGTTATTACACTCCCCTTATGTTGTCATTTTGTGTTCTTGATAGCAGTACCATGAAACATCACCCAGGACATTTTTTGCGAGTCCATAAGTAGGCAATAAAATCAGCTCAAGCTTTCTGGGGCTGTAGGGTGAAGAGTAGGAAATTCAAGGGCAAAAGGCCATTGTACCTGTGTTCCTTGTCCATTGTTTGAAAAACAATACCATGTTCTTGGACTGCACGCACTTATTTGCTTGATTACGTGATTTTTTTGGTTATTCCTCAGAATCTGATGTAAGAAATAATTTTGGACTATTCATCTTTTGAACTGATTATCTCACCAGTGTTTTAAAGTTATCAGCAGACTTGGGGCAGGTTCATTTGGAGAGGTAAGTTCAAGATTGTTTTTATGCATAAATGGAGAAAGTATCTGTAGTAAAACCAAGGGTGTAGCCAGGGGTTGTCCTGGGGTGCCTGTGACCCCCCCCCCTCCCCTTGGTCTTGGTAGGCCTTCTTTGGAGCATACAACCTACAATGTTCAGGTGGTGAAAACGCCATGACAATATCTTGGCCTGCCCACCATACTCTCACTGCTCATCCCAAAAGTGTAACATTAAGTGAAACATGCACGTGGTGGAGGTCAACATGACAATCTGGTGAGTAGCCTCTGTGACCCCCCCCCCTTTGAAAAATCTTGGCTACGCCCCTGAAAACTGACAGTTGCTAAACCCTTTACACCTTAAAATCAGCATCCATATCCTCCGTATTCTTCTCTGTACATTTATTTTGACACTGGAAAGGAGAAATTGTCTGACAATCAAAGTTTCCTGGGTTTGGTGATCATTTCTTTTATTCTCAGATCTAAATGGAATGAGAGAGGAAAAAGATGCTGATCACTCTTATGGTTTAGAGGGTTAGCCTGAGAAAAACAAGGCTATAGTTAGGTATTGAGGGGTTTTGCTGACCTCTGCTTTGTGAAGCAATTAGGAGGAGAAGTTGATGTAGCAGAATTGTATGCATGTGGAGGCAACATACCTCAGTGGTGTTGCATTCTGTGACAATTTCAATAGTATACTGATTTTGTTTTTGCTACTAGAGTTTAATGTACATAATACTTTGAGATAAACCAGTCAACAATATGCAAGTCCTTTTTGAATCCTTCAGCACTTGTTAGCTAGTAGGTAAAGGGCAGATAAGACTGAGTGATTCTCAGAGTGTTAATTCATTGATTAATTAATGTCTTTGAAGGTGTTTAAAGTAAGAAGTAAAGAAGATGGATGCCTTTATGCAATTAAAAAATCAAGGGATAAGTTCCGTGGTGATGCTGACAGGTGAGGTCACCCTTGTTTTCAATGACAATCTAGATAAGGAATTTAAGTAGTACTGTTTTTCTTCACCCTGATTTGTTTACATTTTCTCACAGAAAATATAAACTTGAAGAGGTCAACAAGCATGAGCTGGTAAAGGGTCATAGAAACTGTGTTAAATTTGTCAAGGCATGGGAAGAAAGGTTAGGCATCTGTCCAGTCTAATTTTACCTCTTGTTAACTATGTCTATCATATTGTCATTGTATTTCCTATAGTTTTCTAGTGCTCTCCATTAAGTTAAGTATTACACTGACAGTTTTGATGTTTTGTTTCTGGTTACAATTCAGGAATCATCTTTACATACAAACAGAGTTGTGTGAAATGAGGTAAGGAGAGCATGCTGATCTAAACAGATTAATGATTATCATTACAATGGCTATAGTTGTTATGTTTGATTGAATAATGATTTGTTTCATCTTTAGCCTCAAAGACTTCTTGGAGAAAAATGATTCAACCAGTGAATCAATGGTGTGGGAATTTCTGTCTGATTTGTCTTTGGTTAGTGCATTGTATGCATTTGTTCTTGTAGACACCTATAAGGGAAAGTGAACTTTTGTGTCCAGTTGGTTGATGAAATTATCTATAGCACATAATTAATGGAACAGATTTTTAGTAAATCTTATGTAATTTAGTAATGTTGCAAAGGCACAGCCAAAATGAGGTACAAAGCAGCTTTTTTTTTTCTTTTGCCTTTCAGTTTCATTTCTGAAGGAGTCTATCTTTGTCTTTTTTTTATCCTTGTACGTCTTTATTTTATCTGTGAACTTAGCAATTAGTCTTATCTGGTATCAATTAGTCTTATTTTGTATCAGGTAAAAAAAATGTAAAGCCTCATGTAAATTCTTTTCCAGGGCTTGAAACATCTTCATGATAATGGTTTAATTCATATGGACATCAAACCAGCTAACATCTTTATTGGTCTGGATGGGTTGTGTAAAATAGGGGATTTTGGTTTGGTGTTGGAATCATCAAAAGTAAGTGCTGTTGACTTGTTAGGTTACTGTCTTTTAAATGAGTGCTCCAAGCTAGATGATTTTCACTGCAGAAGTGCAATACCTTAGATGAAATGCAGTTTGCTCATGAGGTTGTTTCAAAAACAAAACAGCAAAAAACAAACAAACAGCCACAAAATTCCATCTAACATTAACCTCAAGTATTTTTGGGATAATCAAGACAAACCTTCAAATATATTTATCAAGTTATTGTTGGCAAAGCATCCATGATATTAACAAATTGGCAATAACACTTAAACTAACACTCTTTACAGCTGCAATTTCATTTGATTAGCTTTTTAGGATGAATTTTGGACTGACATTTGCAGTGGAAGTGGGAAAGATGAAAAGCTCTTGTGCTTCTGTGCATAATTAATAGATTGGTTTCTTCAAACTTGTTCATTAGTAGTGGAAATATTTACTTGAATAATTTTCAATTAAATGATTTTTTTTTTCTGGATTGATGTCTAAGGTACTTTTTCATTTACCCTATTCCTTTTCTCTGTGACTAGTGCGACACCACCCAAGCCTTGGAAGGTGATCCAAAATACCTTGCCCCAGAGCTAATGCAAGGTCGTTTCACAAAAAGTGCTGACATTTTTAGGTTTGTCATCTTCTGTTGGAGTAGCAGCAATTCATTTTCCATATTTTTTGTTGGTGATGAACATGTCTCTGTCTAGACACTATTAAACACACACAGGGAAAGTATGAAAGGTTAAATAATTGTACTGACCTCTTATAAGACTGCAGACACTAAGTTCAGTCTGTTCAGTGTCCATTTTAGAGAGGCTCATCTTAAAGAGGTTTGACTGTACATACGATGCAAAAATGAATGTTTCACCCTTTAATTTTTGGTACATGTGGATGCATGTGTGACTTTTAATTTTGCATTGTTCTGTTTTGTTGTCATCAGTTTAGGCATAACTCTTCTGGAGTTGGCCAGTGATCTTGAATTACCTAAAGGTGGACAAGCATGGCATGAACTTAGAAATGGGAAACTTCCCAACATATTTACGCAAGGTTTGTTCTTCCACTAAGAGAAGCAACAAGAACAGCATCAACAGGAAAAGCATTGAACTCTCTCAGAAACAATCAATATTATCTAGAGCCAAATTGCTGTGAAATTTTATTGTTCAGTATTTTGCACATATGCAGTAGTTTCCAATTCAGGTAAAAAATGAATTCAGATTAATTTGATTTGTTGTTTAAAGATTACAGTCATGCACTCTAAATAGTGGGAGATTCAATTTAAATTAGCTAGCTTGACACCATTTTAACTTGAGGCTCATGGTGAACTTTAGCATGATACTTGCCTTGAAACCTGCCAAAAAAACCTTCCTTTTTAAAATAAAAGATTTGATGTACCTACCCCTATTGCAGTTTAGAAGAACATACTGAGGGAACAAATAGCTTTTGACAAATTAAGATTTAAATTCAGATACTGTACATGTACTCAGATTTATGTTGGTCATCTGCACATCAGGTATATCCCTAGAGCTTAGACGACTTATATCGTGGATGATGAATCCTTCGCCGCAACAAAGGTCTGTTTTACTCTCTTATTAATGATTTGAGTATGCACCAGAAAATACAGTTTTAAAATTATGCATTAATTCGAAAGGTTTTCTTACTGAAGACATACCGGTAGGTGCTTCCAAAATCATGTAGAGTTTCTACAAACTTCTTGACACAATTAAGTCTTATGAGAGCTGAATTTTCTATGACATTTTCAGACCAAATGTAGATGAGATTTTAGCTGAGCCAGCTGTATGCCAGGTAAAGAAAACAGATGATTTAGTAAAATTGATGTAAATTTTATGAACTTTTTTTTTGAATAAGGTCCTCAAGATTTTATTTAATTATGATGCATGCAGCTGTAACTTTGGGAATTAATATTTATAGGCACTGAAAAGGAGACAAAGAGTTTATCTGTACAGCTGGATGGTGAGTGATTTTGCTATTATTTGCAGAAACTGGATCTTGACATTAATTGTGAAATTCACTTCCTGAAAATTGGTGATTGCATTAAATCAGTATTGAGATTAGGGAATTGACAATCTTTCAATCTATCAGCACTATACAAAAATTTCTTGGCTCAATCAATCTATCTTTACTCTTGATAGAAGTCGTTGTGTTGCATCATTTAAACAAAGACTGTGGTTTATTCATTGCAGAAGGAATCAATGTCTGTCATGTATTCCTTTCTTTGCTCCACTTTGTTGTGGATATGGATGGTGTTACTTTGGCCTTTCCACTCATTTACAAGTAAGATTCATCATTATGTTTGAGGCTCGACACTTATGGTAGACAACTAGCAACAGACTAGTAGAAATTCAGTTTTGGCTAGTGGATTTCAATTTCTACTGGCCAGTTTTTAAACAAACTGAAATTTTCATGACATCTAAGTTGTCACTAGCCACGTGGCTAGTAATTTGAAAAGTAAGTTAGTGTTGAGCCCTGATGTTATTATGTCTTGTATCCATTATGTAAAATGTATGCCATGGAGTCTGTAGGTACAAGTAAGTGATAACATGACAGTATAAAAATCAAGTAACATTGCATATACATGTGTAATGCACCTTAAAAAAACTGTGCATTTAATTTTTTTTTAACAGATGTGTGGAGAAATATAATGGACCTAGTTTGCCTTCTAGCACTATATTGTAGGGTGCAGAACTCCTACTTTAGAAATGTTGGGTTCGAATTATTTTGTTGAACTGAAGCCTCCCCTTATTAGATGGGTTACTGTAGTTAAGACGGGTAAAAAACTTATACAAATTGTGGTTTTTCTGGTAAAGTAACTAAACTATGCAGAATGACTGCTAAAGAAATGGTGAACAATGTTGGTCATGGGGCTGCTTGTGATCTTTCCCAAGTTTCAAGCAGATCAGGTTTCTCTTTGCCACTTGGAAACTGATATGGAAATGAGGCTGGTTCAGCATTTTCTACATAACGGTGGACAGGCGTCAGTCAACACTGGTGACTTGATTTTGTCTCTTTGACTGCTGAGAGGTGAATAGTATTGGCTAATCACTTCCAAACCAGCCAATCAGTGTGCACAAATAGTACTATTCACCTGTGTGGTATATACTTATCAACTTAATGAAACTTTCAGTGAACTACAGGTAAATTAGAGGCAATATATAAATTAATACGAATTAGGCCCTCCACAGACTAGGGATTTTAGTTGACGACAACTATTTGTGATCGACCACTAAAAGTTATCGACAACTAAATAAGTCCGATAAAGGATTCCACACACTGGCGCTCAAATACTGATTTAGCAGCCGATACGCGGGGAGGTTGGGCACCAAGAGCTTACTGCGCATGCTCCGTATCGCCATAACGCCATAGCAACTCTTTCATCGACATCAAAGGACTGCCTCATTCTTGTCGTTTCTCGGTGAATGTAAGGGGTCAGTCTTTCAACAATAAGAAGAAACGTACCCCTGTCTACTCGCAAATTGGTGATAAAATCGCCGTCATTCCAGTTTCTACGGCATGTTGGCCAAAATTCCCTCGAACGAACTTTGCGCCAAATTTGCCGTTCAATCGTTTTGGATAAAATATCCTGCATCAGAACTTGTTGGTGGGCACAAAAAAATGCAAGCTGCCGCAATAATGACATCATTAGTGTCGTTTCCACTAAGGAAAAGAAGAAGGAAGATCAAAACGAATGTTTTCTTTACCAAGTATTTTTCTTCTGCAATCCTCCATGTTTTAAGTCGGCTGGGAAAGCCGCGGACACAGTAGCGCAGAGATCTAAAAGTAGTCGACAACTAGTTGACAATTGACAATACTTTATTTCAGAACAACATGTAAATACATAATTATTAAGAAAAAGGAAACCCAGAGGTTGGCCCTATATCAAGGGTCTCCTATTTATGTAAAAAATCTTACAGAACTAGTTAATAAAAAATAAAAAAGTCAAATAAGAAACAGCTAAATATCAATTATTAAATGACGATTCAATAAATATTCATATGTTTCTTCAATTTTGATTTAAACTCACGAACGTTAGGGCTGTCACAAAAATTAAATAAATTAATAGGAAGATTATTCCAGGGTTTGATAATTCTGACAAAGAAAGAATTTTTGTAACAGTTCAGTTTTGCGAGTTTGAGTTGTAGTTTATATGGGTGGTTAGATCTCGATTTAATGTTTTTACAAAGTTCAAAATAGTCGCTGAAATTCAATCCATTTAGATTGAATACAGTTTTATAACATTCCACTAAGGAAAGGAAATCTCTCCTTTGTACTAAAGAGTTCCATTTAAGAATTTTACACCTCTCCGTGTACGCCATCTCTTGTCTTCTTTGGCCTAAGGCAATTCGCGAGGCTCTTCTTTGTATCTTCTCAATTTCATCGATGTCTTTGATGAGGTGTGGTGACCACACCGGGCAGGCGTATTCCAAGATTGGACGAACCAAGGTTTTGTACAAGTTTGAAAAAATATCTTTGTTTTTACCGCCTACTGTGCGTTTAAGTAAGCCAAGAACCTTATTTGCTTTGTGAACTATTTGTTCAACATGTTTTGACCATTTCAGATCACTAGTCATAATAACTCCAAGATCTTTGTAATTAGATACATTCCTCAACACTGTACTCGATATATTGTACCGCGTGGACTTTTTGTCTCTGTTATGTGTAATTCTCATGACTTCACATTTGGTAGAATTAAATTTCATCTGCCAACGATCCGCCCATAGGTCGAGGGTGGTCAGATCTATCTGTAAAGCAATAGAATCATCGATATTATTTATCTGTCGGTAGATTTTGGTATCGTCGGCAAATAATTTGGCAGTAGACGTGATGATGCCAGGTATTTCGTTCACATAAATAAGGAACATAACAACTAAAACAAAAGTTTTCACACACTAGAAAAACGCTCAAAGATGAGGCCGTCGACAATTATTAGTTGTCGACAACTTGCGCCACAGACTACGTTTATGAATTGTCGATAACTTTTAGTTGTCGATCACAAATAGTTGTCGACAACTAAATCCCTAGTCTGTGGAGGGCCTTGGAGGCAATATTTAGGAGAACTTATGCAACTTTATGTTTACATCCTAGACTCATGGGTATGGACCAAATCCTCTGCAAAAGCAGATGTGTCTTACCATGAGGACTTAAGTTTTTCATCTGACGGTAAGAGGAAGTATGCTCTCGTCTAATTTTTCATTTTATTAGGTTTTATGTTTTTGTGTCAAAGTGTGTATCAGCTAAATGTTGACAACTGCTATGGGCCTACAAAGCAATCGTTGAAAGGCATTTTCCCCTAATATTCAATATAATGTAATTTAAAATGTATCAACTCTGTGTAATGAAATTCTATCCCTATTTTTTTTCTGTTTATTCATCAGTATTTTCTCTCTTGTACAGAATCCTGCAATAATTCTATTTTTGAGAGTGGTAGTAGCACTCCCAACTGTAGCATGTCATTTGAGGAGATGCTCACACATTCCATTCCAAAGCCTCCCTGGCACGGGTAAGTAAAAAGTAGAAAGTATAAAAGGCAACTTTTGGATGTTCTAGTAAAAACAATTGGCAAGACTAACCTCTTATTCTGAATAATAAACGCAGCTTTTAACACCTCATGTGTGTACTCAAGAGACTTAATTTTACTACTAATTTTGATATGTAGAGTAGGTTACTGTGTTTAGCTACATTTACCAAGATATTGATATATATCTAACTTTTTTTCCAGTGATGGTTATTGTAGTTCGCCTGTTCACTTAACTCCTTCAAGCCATTTTGAGCAGACAAATATATCTCCTCAAATGCATTCTGATAAAGAAAGGTAAGCAAATGATCTTGAAGAGGAGAAGACATCAGTTTGTGACAAAGAACTTAGGCTTCGTTGTGGAAATAAGTTACTTCTCGCTTTTGGGAAAAGGTAGCTGAAATATTGCCCAAATTCCCTTGCCCCACAGGCTTTCCTTTCATAGATTTCATTCCTCATCGGAAGTCATGCAAAGCAGCTCATATTATTTCCTCAACCTAGCGATAGCAACAAAACGGAGAGAAAGAGACCAGTGCATAGCCAACAGAAGCAAGGCCTGCAAAAGTGCTGTTTGTTCAGGATATTTGGTGATTTAAATTACTGTGATTTCTTCCTGTAGGATTACTCTACCATTCCATGCAAGTAGCCCTGAGCACGAGAGGTATACTCCTCCTTCAGAGAGAAGGCGAGGGCCTCTGTTTCACGAGGAAGGATTCGTGACCAAAAATGTAGTTGAGCCCAGAAACCTATTGGAGGTATGATCTACAGCTTTATGTTGTGAAATTTACTGTTGCTTTAATATAGTCTGGTTTTTAATAGCTAACCAATCACAATGCCTTACATTCACATTCACTGTACATTCTGAAAGAGACTGTGGTACGGGAAGGCTCAATTTTTTATTTTAAGGTTGAGCGTCTTTTTCCGTACTCACTCCGACGTACAATTTGCATCTATTTGCTTCTACTTCTAACATTAATTTCCATCTCTTTCTGGGTGACCCAGGTATTCGAGGATGCAGCTAACAGTCCTGACTGGTAGTAAGTTTGTGAAAAAGAGTATTTCTACACAAAGCAAAGAAGTTTCAACCATCGTCTATCAATGGAGCATCTGGTTAGATTATACTTGGATGAACAGTATAGAACAATAAGAAAGCAAATGCCTAAAATGATTGCACATTGCTAGAAGAAAGGTCCACGATCAGATTTCCAACTAATATAATTATTGTTTCTAGATAATTTATATGTTCCTATTACACTTAAACAAATGGTTGTTCTTACGGTGTACCGCCGCCTAATGACATAATTATGTTTCCAAGGGACGTGACAATGTATGTCTTAACGAGAATGAAAAATGATCAAGCTAATAAGCTTTATCAAGTTGCTGAATTTTAAAATCAGTCTTTTAATGTGACTCCACTGTTTACCTGGGAGTTTCCTGTGATTTTATGTCAAGATATGTTATTTAGGGTTTCTTTAGTGCAGATTAAGCTTTACATAGTAAATCATTCTATACAAAGTAAAACGCTCCACAAACGCCCATTTTACCACTGTTTGCGTGGCTCCTAGACCCTTCAAACGAGGCACATTTTTCGTATCAGAAGCGAAAATAGCAACATGAGTTTTTTTTTTAACCTCAGTGTTTAAAAAACGTTGACATCGTCAATATTTGTAAATGTAAATAAATTCCTTACTTGTGATTGTCTTTCACAAATAGTGATGATAACATTTCCTGAGATATCTGTATGCATATAATTTTAGTACCGTGGATCGGCTGCGCCTCGGGTGCCACCTTTTTGTTCTTGCCTCATTTTGACGTCATCTGTGATATCTATTATTGATGATTATGGGACTGACTAGAGTCTAATTCCGTCTGTAATCATACTAGTGATGACAAAATTGGACGACCGCGCAGAGGGAGTCTGATTTGCTAATTACGAATATGATTAATAATGGTAATAGGACTTCGTGTCGTCCAATTCTGTCTGTAATCGTACGATCGATTAAGCGCGAAGCGGGGGTCCGATTTGTTAATCAGTCGTATGATTACAGACAGAATTGGAAGACACGAAGTCGTGTTACTGATTATAAAGTTCGGATATAACACACGCTGTTAATGATTGAAAGAGAGTGTTCCTTTTGAGTACAAAATACGGAGATAAACTTAAGCTGTCACGCCATCCTCCAATTTGGCCATTGTTCGGACTCAGAACCAAACGAAAGTTTTTAAACATGCCAAGCGCATGAACAGAGACGAAAATCCACACAGAGAAATTGTGCTCAGTTAGATTGTAATGTTGCGTATGGTAGTAAAACTCAATTAGATTCTGTGGTAATACTGACAAAATTCAGGCGAAAGTGTCAAATTCGACCCGCTGAACTATTTCGCAGATTGTGAAAGTAAGTTATGCGTGGAAATTTGACAGATTCTTTATTTTAAAACAAATGCAGAAGCCTTGACTTAAAAAAGTGGAGAGAAACACTCGACTACGTCTCGTGTTTTCCCTAACACTTCTTTCGTGCTCTAGCCACTTCTTGCACAGTCAAGGCTTCTTTATTTGTTCATTTAGTTACAATTAATCGAAACTGACAAAATTTGGGAAAGAAACTAGACGTCGGTTATACGTTTTCTCAAAAATCAACAGTCAGCTGTCCTATTACCTTGTCCAATTACAAGCACAACGCGTACACTTGCCCACTCCTATCGGGTCACGTTTGAGAATTTTGTTATGGATTTGATAAGTATCGAACAACCGTACGGCAACATGGAATCCATTTGTTAAATTTAGCCAATATTTGTGTACTATGATAGACTTGTAGTGCGATTTGTTGTCAACAGGGTTCGTACACGTCTTGAAAACCCTTGAAAACCCTTGAATTTCAGGAGGCCGATTTCAAGGCCTTGAAAGTACTTGAATTTCGTTTTGGGTCCTTGAAAGTCCTTGATTTTTTATTGAACAACATCGAAAAATATCTGCTTTTGTTTCGCGCCATCGGTAAACCCAAAACATAGATGATAACAGAGACATTTTGCTTGGTTTTGAGGTAAAATTGTCATTACAAAAAGTCCTTGAAATTTCTAAGTAGGGTCCTGGAAAGTCCTCGAAAGGTCCTTGAATCTTTGGCCTGAAAAAGTGTACGGACCCTGAGTCAATCAAACTCTTGATCGAAATCTGGAGCGGAAGCAGCAAAAAAAGTTTGTTGTGAGGGCAGCTATTTTTGCAGCAGGTAAGCGAAGCTTCAAAATCTCTTGATCAAACTCTAAACCAACTGTGGCTAAAAAAGGTTTTTTGTCAGACAGCTTTATTTTCAGCAGGTGACGAAGCTACAAACATTGATTTGTAAATACTCGTCAGCTTTCTTGACCTCTCTTTTTACCAGATCAAATTAGAGAAAAGGGGGTCGACAGAGGATAACACCGAAGGAAAGATGACGAAAAAGCGCCAGATTCGAAAGTTTACGCGTGCTCAGATAGCGATCTCCGCGAAGTGCTATTTTATGATGTAATGTTTTGGGGGTAAGAAAAATGGGATCTTTCGTGTGAGGTTTATTGAGTTTTCTCGGTAACTCTGTCCTTTTTTAAAACTAGCTCACTCCCAACTACATACAGTTCATATCAAATAGGTTATTTTTGTTAAAATGTCTAAACGGCCAACAGGGTTTTTATAGTTTTGGTATGTATTGAACATGTAAAAAAGTATTCTTAATAAAAATTGGATTCTGACGAGTCGTCGCCCTGAAATCGAGCTTCAAACTTCCCGCTTTGACCACGCCCATTGAAGGTAACCGCGAGTCGGGGCAAAAAAGAGATTAGGTTCCAGAATGGGTCGTGAAGTCAAGTCAGGAACGCGCCAAATCCCGCCAGTGGTTCATTTCACTTTTTTTTTTTTTTTTCCACCAAGGTAAAGACTTTTCGGCGACATAAATATGCCCGATAGATGTGTTGTTGCGGGCTGTTCTAATACTCCAAATTCAGAGAAGGGAATTTCATTGCATAAGATTCCATTCTACGGTGATGATCGAAGTGAAGCAAAAGCTTGAAGGAACAAGTGGACAGGCTGTGCAGTTGAAACGTGCAAAGTGGAGTGCGACTGCTTCGTCCGCTGTGTGCTCTTGTCAATTCGCTCCTAAAGACTTTACCAGACGACTTACTTTCAGTACCCAGAAATTTCAAAGAACTCTTCTGAAGGATGAAATTGGCATTCTTCCCATCCTCGGAGACCCAGGGGCTGAGTCGATTTAAAGTTAGGGCATGAAGAGCCCCTGGGGACATTGTCTTACAAGACTAGTTCCAAACGGTCGCAGTCGTTCTGCCATCTGATTGGTGCCAGAAAATCTTTGT